ACCTCAACATATGCCCTCCTCTAGGACTAGGCAGAAAAGTATCAGGGTAAGGAGCAAAAGTGGAAAGAAATTGAACGGTTTTCTCTCCTACTCGCCCTCTAAATGAAAAATGTGAGAAGCAAAAAGCATCTCCTCCCTCCTATGTATCTGTCAGCACATTTCCAGGAGGCCTGGCCACATCCCGGGCACCGGCTGGCCTGGGAACAGAGCCTGACACAGCACATGCGCAAGCATCGGAGCCCTCGCCTGGGTGGTCTGCTGTTATTCCTTTGATTAAACTCCCAGGCTGGAAGAGCTGGCGCTGCTCCTAATGATAGCTGGGTCCTGCAATCTCACACTGGCCCGCACAGACAGGCCAGGGCTCCCTCTCCTCTCCCTCTCCTCACCGCAGAGCTGGGTTACCTCGCCACATTCTCCTGTTCGCTGACAGCAGTGACCACAAAGGGCTACTTCTGTGCGTGCAGAGGGCTACAGTTGTAAAGCACACCTCTCCCGGCACTGGATGAGGCAGACATAGTGAGACCTCACACTCAAGCTCTACGCCAGCCCACCTCAGCTACCATAGCACTCTCCCCCACAAGAGAACGACGCTTCTAGAAAACCCTGCTTTCAGGGATGTATGATTTCCAAAGGATTCCAGTCCCCAGAGATAACCAGCTTCTCACGTGCCAAGGGAAAGAACTAAATTTGACCTGCTCTCTGCTCAGATTTGTTAGGTATTTGTTGAATAATCATATGTTAAGAACACGTGTCTCTGTATTTCCAGCATATGCAAACACTTCCAAAGTGGCCACGGTGGCCACTTCGTGTGGCAGGGAAATTTCAATATTCTCATATGTTCTAGTCTATAAGTAAAGTTAAATCATAGCAGAAAGAGTAAAAGTAATTGCAAGATAAATGAGGTTCTGTTTTTAGCCATACAAATTCATAAGAATCTAGCCTCTAATGGAAATTCAGGGAACTTCAAGCTTTATTATCAAATTTTGGGGTTGTCAGAGTACTTTGCTTCTTTTCTTCTGGTTAATTCACTGTTCCTCAGCATCTTCAACAGTGAGCAGGGAGGAAAAGGGGATGGCATTGCTTCATCCTGCAATCCATCCTCCTCCCAGCTACCTAAGTGATGCAGCTAAAAGGCAAGGCCCATTTGTCTCTGTGGCTCCAGGTCATCTATGAGATAAAGAGCAGAGTTCCTTCACAGGGCATTCAAAGCTCTCCTTGAATCAGCCCTTGTCTTCTCCTCCAGCTTCCATCCCAGCTGCTCCCTATCCTCCAACACCACTAACCACCAGCTTTCTGTTTCCCCAGATACACACATGCTAGCTTATTTTGGAGCCTGCCCTACCCTTCTTCTGCCACCCACCAGCCCACCCTTAAGATTCAGTGTAGGTGTAATCTCTTTCAAGAAGGCTGCTTTGGCCTTCCCACTCCCACCCACAGGCTGGGTTAGATACCCTTTGGTGGTTTTGTTATTCCCTAGAAACATCTCTGCAGATGCCATGCTAGTACTATCATATGTTTATGTGGCTGTCACCCTTACCAGATTGTGAGTTATTTCACGCTGAGGTCTATGTCTTTTTTTTTTTTTAATTAATTAATTTATTTATGGCTGTGTTGGGTCTTCGTTTCTGTGTGATGGCTTTTTCTAGTCGTGGCAAGCGGGGGCCACTCTTCACCGCGGTACGCGGGCCTCTCACTGTCGCGGCCTCTCTTGTTGCGGAGCACAGGCTCCAGACGCGCAGGCTCAGTAATTGTGGCTCACGGGCCCAGTTGCTCCGCGGCATGTGGGATCTTCCCAGACCAGGGCTCGAACCCGTGTCCCCTGCACTGGCAGGCAGACTCTCAACCACTGTGCCATCAGGGAAGCCCCAGAGGTCTATGTCTTATATCATCCCCGTGGCTTAGTACCAAGGCCTGGAACACTCTCAAGAGCGTAACAAAATGTTTTTGAATGAACAAATTCAAAGAATATATTTGAATAAAAAGTTCTACGGAGAATGCCACTAAAAGCTTTCATGAGCAAGTAGTTGAAATCATAGACAAAATAAAGTGATTTTTCAGAAATTCCCTCAAATTTCATTTTTTTTGGCCACGCTGTGCAGCATGCGGGATCTTAGTTCCCCGCGACCAGGGATCAAACCCACGCCCCCTGTGGTGGAAGCACAGAGTCCCAACTGCTGGGTCACCAGGGAAGTCCCAAATTTCAGGGTTTTTATACTCATCTTCCAAAATAGCACAAATAACTTAAAATCAGCATACCTTACTTAGTGGAAGGTCTCTTAACGCCTTGCCCAGAAAAGCAATGTAAAGATATATCAGGGTTTATGGCATATAATGAAAGCAATACTCAGAGGAAAATCCATAGCTTTAAATATAATAAAAAATAAGACATGAGTGAAAATAAATGAGGTACCCAACTCAAGAAATTGGAAGGAAATAACAAAATAAAGCTAGGGAAAACAGAAGGAAGGAAGTTAGCAAAGATAAAACAAGAAGAGAACCAATTAACAAACAATAAAACAACAGAATGAATAAATATATCCTATCAAGAAAAGGGAAGGGGGAAAGAAAATCTTCATTAACCCTATTGGATATGTGAAAAAAAAGAAAACGCAAAATAGGAATTGAAAATAAGGAAATAATCACAGGTAAGAGGAAATAAAAAACATTTCAAGTGACTACTGGACACAGAGTTATTTCTGGTGGAGCTGACTTGAAGGTTTCACACTCCAAGTCCAGAGAGGAGAGCAGAGCTTTCAGCACGTTCTGTCTGGATGCCTGCCTCTCACCAGGACTACAGACACCTTATCACTTGCCTCAGTGAGTAAGGAACCAAGGCACTTTCTTTCAAACACAGCTATGAGTAAAAGGAAATGGCCAGTAAACAGATGTCCCAGGGCCCTTATTAAGCCATTATAACGTGTTATTATTTACCAGAAAAAGAACAATAGAAGAATTTCCCAAAATCCAAATTAAGGAACTACTTTCTCCAAGGGGAAATAACACAAATAACACATACTTGAGCTTTTCAATAACAACATTCATTTTGGTAACACAATATTTTATCCAAAAACTGATTTCAAATCAAATTAGAAACCATTTATTATTAAAAGCCTTTTACGGTTGAAATAGCAATCTTTTCCAAGTATCAATATATGGCATTCAGACTTTACAGAAAGGTTCCTGCATACTATCCTCATGACCCTGTTGTATTTTCCTCATCAACAAATAGAGACCCTGAGGTTAACGGAAGTTGAGTGAATTGCCCAAGATCACACAGCTAGTAAGTGGCAGAAGAAAGCAGGTCTTTATATGGCTAATCCAGCCCTTTTCCCACTACTGCACCCTGCTTATTACATACTACAGTCCCTCCCTCAGTATTGCACCAAGGATTAACCACCCTATTTATTACCAAGGCTCTAAAAGTTAAGACTGACATCTAATGGTGAGTTCAGATCTCTATGAAGAGAAGTCTGATGGAATTTTAATTCACTGGCACTGAAATTCTTCTTAGATGAGACAGACTGAAGGGGAACGACTTTCCAATAAGGATACAATCACCTTGGATTCCCAAAGGATCAGGATCCTTTCATTTAGGCAAGCTTTGCTGTCTCCCAAATGATAGGAGGTGAAAATATGTAAACACTAATATGGGCTATGTTTTTTACTATAATTGCAAAGAAAATTTCTTAATGTCTTGGTGCTTCTAGCTGCTCGTTAAAAATTGGAACATATACTCTAGTCAGTGACCCACTGAAAAAAGTGTAGCAGATCACTGGCCCTCTACCTTCCTGATAGCCACTTCACATTTCACAATTCCTTCCCATTCTACCATGGCCATGATATTCCATTTCCTTTTCCCATCATTCTGTCACTAAAATCTAACTATTAACTCCCTTCAAGTCTCAACACTGCCGTATAAGATTCTTCACTTCCTAGTTCACATTAGGCTTCCTTATCTACTCCCTTCAAACTATCAGGGATTTGAAAAAGAACATTAATTACAACCTCACACTCTGGGATGAGGCACTTTGAAGTAAAGCTAAGGCTTACTTTGAATTGTGGTCCAGAATTTTACACAGAAAAGTAGGGCACCACCAGGGAGCAGTATGTTGCCTACTTTTAACATGCACTTGAAGTAATCTACAGCTTCACTTTTTCCTAGACTCAATTATCACTAGAGAGTTGCCACCAGTTAAGGGACATGACACCACAAAGATATAGCAAAATATAACTGTGGAGTTAAATCAGAATAATTCCTTTGGAGGACTTTGAGGCCGCTTGCATTAAGGAAAGGGAAAAAAACATGGCTTCTATTTCCAGTTAAATACCATGGGGATAATCATCAAGAAGGGCAAAAAGAATCCCAAAGTTCTTAAAAGCTTTCATCTAACTTCACTGTGTTGTAAGCTTGTCAGTATATATACAACAAAGTCAAAATCGTGGTATCCATCAAGCTTGCCGGATGACCTTGACTACATCACTCATTTCAGCCCCAGTTTCCCCCATCTGTAAAATGTGAGGATGATATGTGTTGGATGAGGGTGTATTGAAATTCATTAATCAGTGCCCAGAAAAGATCCTGACATCATGAGATGAAAGGCAGTAAAGTTAAAAAAAAAAAAAAAAAAAGTAAAAGGTAATGTTATGGCATTCTGGTAAAAAGATTTATAAGGCTAGAACTCACTGGAAAATTTTACCAGAGAAATAAGTTATTTTTAAAGATCCTTTAAAAGTGCATTTACAGCTGAACATTCAAGTCTATTTATCCATGAAGTAAGTACATCATAGCTAGCAGCACACTTAAGTTTGCAATACCTGTGACAGAAACCCTTTCTTTAAAGCTGAAGGAATGCTTTTATTCTTTAGCTTGAAACCAACTAATATTCATTCAACAGGCAACAGCATATGGGCATTAGGAAAGACAGGGAAGGACAGAGTACCCTGTAGTTAACCCTATCCAGCGATCCAAAGAACTCTCTGACACCCCAAACTATCCATACCTGCTGGGTGAGGAGACTGACGTGAGTGGATGGAGAATACTGCCTTGCTGCCTGCTTCTCAGCTAGCCGCTGAAGTTCAGCCGTAACCGTACTTGGGTTGTACCGTCTGCTGTATGAGGAACCATCTTCTCCCTCCTTCTGTGTTTTGGCTACTCCTGAATGCTGCTTGTTTGGATGGCATGAACCTGCTAAAAGAGAAAAGTTTTCATCCACTTAGGAAAAAAGCCCTGAAAAACTTAGGATGATGACAGCAAAATCTCAGCCGACAGACCCCTAGGATCTCTGACAACATAAGGAGCAGTAAACTATCCTCAGATGCTCACAAAAGTAAAACTAAACCCTTACCATACTCTAGAAGCTCTTCCTACCACCAGATTGTTACATGCATTTATTACTGTGTTTTTGCATACTATGAATCCTTCACAAAAGAAGAATTTTCATCACATGTAGTGGGGAATAATTGATCCTAGAATCAATGAATAAAAAATGTGTAGCCTTGAAACTCATTATAGTTCTTGTTTTCCTTGTTATGTGACTGTACTTGTCAGTAGTTTACGGCACACGCTGTCAAATCACCCACAGTCCTCCTTACAGAGCTCAAAAAGGAAAGAAGGACAAAAGCAAAACAGTATATTTGGAAAAACAGCAATAATCCTATATTATAAAATTTCAATTGATTTTTCTTTCAGACTTCAATTTTCCTCTTTCAACTATAATATCACAGAATTCTATTATTTCCGAGCACTGAAATTCTGGCACAATGAAATTACTTAATATAAAATCAAGGTTAACATTTTTTCTATGATAAAAGTCACACAATCCATTGAAAAAATATTAAAAACCCAGAAAAGTGGAAACACTTTAATGTGTTTCCTTTCTGTCTTATTAATGCTTATATAACCACAATCATTCTGTATGTACAATTTGGTGACACTACTTTTAAAAAAATCTATATTTTTTCATGTTTATTATGTTATTTGACACATACCAAATACTATTTACAATTGATGTAGAAGTTATAAAACATATTATAATGAACTGACTACCCAACTCAAGAGTCACATTATCAACCCATGTGTTCCTCCTCATCCTTAACCTTCCCTTATCATTCATCCCCTTCCATTTTTTAAAATATAGTTTTATTCTTTGTTTCTGTGTGCGTTTGTGTATGCATACTTAAACAAAATACAGTTAATTTTGTTTGTTTTTGAGCTCTATAAAAATGGTATCTACTGTAGTAGTTTCCTGGGACTTGCTTTTGTTACTCAATACGATACTTCTGAGATTTATCCTTTCTAAGTACAGCTGAAATTGATAACTTTACCTGCTGCTTGGTATTCCATTTTGGAAATACATTACAACTTATTTTTCTATTCCCTCATTAATGGCTATTTTGGCTATTTCAAGCTGATCGCTATTATAAACAGTGCAGTTGTGAACACTCTTGCATACATGTCCTGGTGCACATGTGGAAGAACTTCTCTTGTGTATACGGCTAGGAGTTGAGTCACAGAGTGTGTGAATTTTCAAATGCATGTGATAACAACAATTTTCAAATTTATGTGAATTTTCAAATTTATGTGAATTTTCAAATTTATGTGATAAAAACAATTTTCAAATTTATGCGAATTTTCAAATGTATGTGATAACAACAATTTTCAAATTTATGTGAATTTTCAAATGTATGTGATACATTGCCACAAAATATAAGTGCTCCTGCTGACCCACATCCCCTCCAACACTTAGTACTGTCAAGTATCTTAATTCTTCCCTCTTTTAAGAGGGTGTAAAATCTCACTGCATTCTTCATTTATATTCATCTGATTCATAATGATGTTGAGCACATGTTACCTCTTTTCTGATACCACTATTGGGTTGTCTTTTTCTTACTGAAGGAATCTTGCTTATGTTTTTACTTTTGTTTCCTACAATAAGGTGTTAAAGATGGTCTCCCTTATTCTATTCTAGAAGTTTAAAGTTTTGCACCTGAAATTGATTATATGGATAGTATGAGGCAGAGATCTAATTTCACTTTTCTTCCTGTATGGATAACCAATTATCCCAGCACCATTTATTGAGAAATGCATCCTTTTCCACGATCTGCAATGCCATCTGTCATATATCAAACTTCCATCTATATCTGTATGATTGCTTCCAACTTTCTATTCTGCTCCGCTGGTCACTTTGTACCTTTTCAGATACTGTATTTTCTTAATGATCATATCTTTATATTCTTAATAAGATACTCCTCCACCCTTTTCTCTTCTTCAGTGAGTTCTCACCATCCTTGGTCTTTTGCCTATCCATTATCATTTTAGAATTGGCTTGTCAAGTACAACAACAAAACTTGAGATTTTGGTTGGAACCTGTATTGAATCCAGAGATCAATTTGATGAGAACTGAAACATTTATGATATTAAGTCTTCCTATCCATGTACATCCTATTTACTAATTTATTTAGGTTTTCTCTGTCTCTAACCAAAGTCTTATAAAATTTCCTTATAAAAGTCTTTCCTAAATTTATCCCTAGATAGCTTATCATTTTTATGCATGTTGTTCTCTTGGTGATGTGGTTGTACAACAATGTGAATGCACTTAATGCCACAAGTGTATCTGTAGCTTATTTTCAGTTTTCTATGTAGATAATGTATTATCTGCAAATAAATAAATTTTATTTCCTCCCTTTTGATCCTTATGCCTTTAATTTCTTTTTCTTGTTTTATTATACTGGCTCTTGACCTCCAGTAAAACACTGGATAGAAGAAATGTCAGTGGGCATCCTCTTCTTGCTCTTAACCTTAGAAGGAATGCTTTCGACATTTCCCCATTTACACTGATATCTCTTGTGAGATTTTGGCAGACACCCATTTTCAATAAAGAGTGTTTCCTTTTCTTCCTAGTATGCTGAGAGTTATTATCATGAACGAGTACAGAATTTTACCAAATTCTTTTTCTGCATCTACTAAGAGTATAAATACAGTTTTTCTCCTTCAATCTGCTGATGTGACAAACGACATTTATAGATTTTCTGTTAACCCCCTTCTGTATTCCTTGGATAAACTTGTTCATGGGATCTAATCTCTCTCATATATTGCTAGATGTGGCTGGCTCATATTTTGATTAGAATTTTTGCATTGGTGTTCATAAATGAAGCTGATCTATAACCTCCCTCTCTAATACTGTCCTTAATTGGTTTTGTTATCAAGATTTAACTAGCCACACAGAGTTATTACTGTTGTCTCTTTTTCCATGCTCTAGAAGAGTTTAAGATTGGAATTATCTTTCCCTTGAAAGACTGTCAAAACTTATCTATAAAACCATCTGGGCCTCAAGTTTTCTTCGTGAGATTTTTTAACTACTGTATAACTTATTTTAATAGTTATAGGACCATTCAGGCTTTCTTCATCTTTTATTTTTTTAATAAATTTTTTCTTTTCTTAAAAAAAATTTTTATTTATTATTTATATGGCTGAGCCAGGTCTTAGTCGGGGCAGGCGGGATCTTCGTTGCCGTGTGCAGGATCTTTTTAGTTGCAGCATGCGGGATCTTAGTTGCAGCATGCATGCAGGATCTAGTTCCCTGACCAGGGATCGAACCCGGACCCCCTGCATTGGGAACGCAGAGTCTTAACCACTGGACCACGAGGGAAGTCCCTCTTCATCTTCTTGAACCAATTTTACTTACTTTTGTAGGCATTATCCACTTTGCATAGGTTTTCAATTTTATTGGAATAAAGTGGTTAACAGTATTCTAATATTTTTGTCACCTATGCTACATTTGTATTTTCTGCCTGCTTTTCATTCCTTACATTATTTATCCATATCTTCTCTCTTTTCCTGATCGGTCTCACCAGAGGTTTGTCCACCTTCTTAGGCTCTTCAAAGAACTTTTGGTTCTGATATTTTCTCTACTGTACCTTATTTTTGAATTCTGTAATTTTTACTCTTGTCTTTGATTTTTATCTTTACTCTTATCTCTCTTTCTCCTTTATTTAGATTTGTAATATTGCTGTTTTTATACCATCTGAAGTAGATATTTAGCACATTAATTTTTAGCCTTTCTTCTTTTCAAATATAAGTATTTAAGGCAGTAAATTTCCCTCCAAATACTGTTTTTCATTGCTCTCCACACATCTGAACATGAAGTTTTTTCACTGTCTTTCAATTCTAATAGTTTTACATTTATTTCCATTATGATCTCTTCTCTGAACTCTTTTAAATTTTTAAATATATAAGGATTTGTTATGTATCGTTGCTGTCGACATTCAATTTAATTGCAGTACGGACAGAGAATGTGGCTGTATGATACCAACTCTGAAATCTGTTGTCTTATGATGTAGGACATGACTGTTTATTATAAACGTATCATGTGTGCTTGAGAAGGTGTTTTCTCTAATTATTGGGTACAGAGTATTATGAATGAGCAATAGATAAAGTTATCATCTTGTTCAAATTGTCTTTATCTTTGCTGATTTACAAAATCTGTGTATCTACTAGTATTGGACAGAAATATGTGGAAATCTCCCACTAAGACAGTGGATTTGTAGATTCCTCATTAGTTGTATCAATTTTTGTTTTATTTATTTGGAGGTTATTTTGTTAGCTGCACTTAGAACTGTTTTATCTTTCTGCTGAACTAAACTTTCTGTTTTATGTAATTACTCTCTGTATCTGTTAGGAAAATTTTCTCTCTTAAAGCCTAATGTAAGCTAATATATACTAAATTAAGTAAGCATATATTAGCACCACCTTTATTCTGGTTGGTATTTACATGGTATTTCTTTCTTCATCCTTTTACTTTCAACCATTCTACGTCCTTATCTTTACATGTGTCTTTCGCTGGTAAACAACATACAGTTAGATTTTTAAAAAATTCAATCTGACACTCTTCTAACAAGTTCAGCCCATTTATATTTATTTGATTCTTGATATATTAGGACTTGGTTTACCATCTTTCAAGTTTCCATTTCTTGCATTTTCTAAGCTTCGCACTTGTGTGCTTCTATGTTTGTGGGTGCTTCCCCCGACCCAGTCCATTTTTCTTCTTCCCACATGTTTAAATTTCCATATTTTAATTTTTTCAGTGGTGACCTTTGAAACTTGATACTGTATATTTATCTTGAAAAAGTCTAAATTCAAAATAACATCTTGGGCTTCCCTGGTGGCGCAGTGGTTGGGAGTCCGCCTGCCGATGCAGGGGACACGGGTTCATGCCCCGGTCCGGGAGGATCCCACATGCCGCGGAGCAGCTGTGCCCGTGAGCCATGGCCGCTGCGCCTGCGCGTCCGGAGCCCGTGCTCCGCAGGGGGAGAGACCACAACAGTGAGATGCCCGCGTACCGAAAAAAAAATAATAATAAAAAAATAACATCTTAATCTCATCCCCAAACTATTCAATCACCACAGAAAAATTTGACTCCAATCACTTATAGGATATTATTGTTGTCAAGTATATTGTTGTCAACTATATATTGTTATCTATATATTGTTGTCTACTACTGTTTAAGCCATTCAGAATATGTTCTTTGACCACAGTGGAAATAAGCTAAAAAGCAATCACAAAAAATAGAGAATGCCAACTATGTGAAGATTAAACAATATACTTATAAACAATCCATGGGTCAAGAAAGAAATCACAACGGAAATTAGGAAATATTTTTGAACTGACTAGCTTCTTCTGGTCCTTATCCTCCTCTGCGATAGGTAAGAAAAAAAGGAAGGTTTAAAAAAGAAGTGTTGATGACAGCAACAAGGTACTGGAGACACTGACCTTACTGAATTTCTCTCACATGGAAGAAAAAATTTAAGCCAGAACATAATTATTATTGATTTTAGAAGATTAAATCATAAGAATAATCACTCAGAATTAGCACTAATACATATATACGTACATATTCATATGATGACTTATTAAAGTAGACCCTTTCATATCTCTGATTCAAGCTCCATATTACAATATCCATTTCATTTGAAATCAGACAATGATTAAGACATACAGATCGGCTATTTATAAAACATAGCTTAACTGTAACTCACCTTAACGTGGATATTACTCAGGTGTTTAAAAATCTGACCAATGTTAAAATACTTGCTAATCTACAAATTCAACACAATCCCTATCAAAATCCCATCTGCCTATTTTTGCAAAAATTGACAAGCTGATCCTAAAGTTCATAAGAAAATGCAAGGGATCCAGAATAGCCTAAACAATATGAAAAAGAAGAACAAAGATGGAAGAATCACCCTTGGTGATTTCAAAACTTACTACAATGCTATAGTAATGAAGACAATGTGGTACTCGCATAAGGGCAGATATACAGATCAGTGGAATAGAATTGAGACTCTAGAAGTAAACCCTTACATTTAAGATTAAATGATTTTTGACAAGAGTGCAAGACAATTCAACAGGAAAATAACAGTCTTTCAACAAAAGGTGCTGGGACAACTGAATAACTACATACAAAAAAAGAGATGTTAAGACCTTTATGCCACACCATATACAAAAATTATATCAAAATGGATAAAAGACCTAAACTATAAAATTCTTAGGAAAAACATACTCAACAGAATGAGAGAAAATACTTCTAAATCATGCATCTGGCAAGGGACCTGTACCCAGGATATATAAAGAACACTTACAACTCAACAGTAAAAAGACAAATATCACAATTATCTCTTGACTATGCTGTAAGCTCCCAGTAAATAGAAGCCTTGTCTTACTCATTTCTTTATCCCCAGCACCTAAAAGAAGTTGTTTCATTTTCTTATCAGTGAATGAGTGTCACTGGACCAAATGCAAGACTCTTCCTTAGTCACATCAGAACTATGCACCCTGTGTCCCTTTACCTTTCAAAAGAAAAGCCAAAGGGAAGAGATGGCATTCTTTTTTAACTGGGGCTGGGGAGAAGCTGACATTGTGGAGTGCCTTTCATTCTCTCACTCACCTGCCTTTGCTGAAGAGGGACGAGACAGTTTCTGGCTATAGATGTGCGCAGCACCTTGGAAAGAGGAAAAGGGGCCAATGGTGTAACTGCCTGATCGACAGCGCGGCAGGCCAGCGGGGCTCAGTACGTTCTGTGTCCCAGGATGGATGGACGGAGAAGCACTGCCAGGGACCGTGCTCAGTAAAATTGCTGGCTGGTGAGCCATGCTGCGGATAGCTGGAGGAATCTGAGATAAAGAATGGTGGCCTGGCCCTGGTGAGAGGTCAGAGGTGGTAATAACAGATGACAAATGGGTGTTGGGAATTTTCTGCAGAAGAGTAGCAGTAGGACCAGAGAAAGAAGTAGAGGAAGAACTGGTATAGACTAATTTAGCCTCTTTTTCTGCTGAAGTGGTAAATCCTATTAAAACAAAAACAAACAAACAAAAACAGATCATTTTAGGAAAAATTAATGTAAATTCTGTATGTAAACATGAAGCAAACATTTTTAAACATCAAAATAATCTTAGCATGAAACAGACATAATGAAAAATACAAACTTTAATGAGATTCATCATGAACCTAATGAATACTGCCCACTGAGACAATGAGGCAATGGAAACAGTTTATTTTTAGTCCCTTCTGAAAGCTGGTGTTGGGACTACCTCCATCAACCAGAGCAGGTGCTTTACAAACGTTAGGGCCTCAGGACAAAGTTTCTGGTAATGACAGCTAACTCCTCTCCCTCTGATTTTCACCCTTCTAGAAAAAAAAGTGCTCAGAATTTTAAACATTAAGAAAGTGAGAAATTCCTTGGAAGGATAACAGGCTATCAGTAGACAAAAGGAAATTCTAAGGGAAAAGGAAAAACAAAGAAAAGGAGCCTTTTGCAGTAATGTCACACGCCCGAAAATCATTTAATATCTGATGACATTTTTTCATTTAAAGATTTATCAGAGAGCAGCAAATCTATGTAGGTTTGAAGTCACTCACGAGATAATTTATCAGAGTGAATTTCTGTTGCTTGTTGCTGCTTGGGCTGCTTTATTTTCACTTCTTCCATCGTTTCAGGGTGATCTGAAATAAGAAATAAATACTGAGCTTAGGCTCTGTTACTAATCAAATGCTAGAGCATTGCTCTACACATCATTTTGTTTCCAAAATATAACACAACTAGTAATCAATGCTAGGAACCATTGCATTTCTCAACACACTTTTCCAAGGATGGCCATGCCCACAGCCCTGTTGAGTGGGACACCAACCAAATGATTCCCAACTAGCCCCAACCTTAGCTCCAGCTGACTGAATCAGGAAAAGATACCAAAACCCAGGGCAGCCATCCATGGACTGCCAACAAGCTACAACATGCCTGGGAAAGAAAATGAGTAAGGGCAGTAAGATGCCTCTGTCAAGAATTCAGACTTGGGGAGCTAAGAGACCAAACTGGTCGGTGGTACACAGTGGAGCGAAGAAGTCGTAATATATATGGACCAGGCAACTGCCAAGAGATAGAAAGAACAGCCCCAGTCTTTGCTGGCATGATACCTGTTTACTACAACAGCTCTGTAACTTAATCTCCTCGGTTTTACTTGCATAAGCTGAGTGAGTTTGCTTATTAGATAGATTGATCAGTATATTCAATAACAACATCACTCTAATAAAATAAATTTCCACCGTAATAAATTAGGGTTTTTTTCTACTACAGAATTTTGAAACAGAACAGCCAGAGCTAATCATATACTTAGAGAAATATTCCAAAAATCTTTCTCAAGGGCCAGGTTCATACAAAAACTTAAGACAGGCCATTTTACAGATCATCTTTCAGAATGAAAGAATAAGGACATATGAATTCTCTTCTGTCCGTCACCACCAGCACAGGTAATACTGTCACACATTTGTTTGCTCATGTTTTTAACAAGTCCAGATACTACCAAATGTCATACTGTTGTTCCCTTGATTGAGGCCTTCCTACTGCCCCTCTAGTTATTCTTGATTGGTATTGCTAGGTATAGACATTACTATGTAAAGGTAGCCCTTAACACATGAACCCCAGAATTTCCGAGGACGCATCTGCACAAACAGGTGCTGCTAGTACGTGCTGTTAGGGCTTCTCCATTACTACCAGGGGAGAAGATACTACCTGAATGCCAGGCTAGGACTTCACCTGCCTAGCACACTTTTCCCTACCCCAACCTCATTACAAAAACTCCTCAGCCTCCCTTTCCCAACACTGTTAGAGGGTCTTTTCAGAGATCCTACCAACCTTCTTCCTGTATTTACTCACCCAAGTTCATCCAGCAGACAATAAATATTATAAAGTCAAGAACTGTGACAGTCCTGGTCCCTGTATCTCTAGGAACTATCACCATGTCTGACACATGATAGGTGTTCATTAAAAATATGTAGAAGGAATGAATGAACGGATAAACAAACTAGCTTTAGAACTTAGATAAGTTAGGAAAGCTCAAAGAAGAGGGCTGGGCTCAGAAGTATTTCTACTAATACAATACTTTAAGTGTACAGTGAGCTAAATAGGCTTTTGTAGACTAACCTCTGAAGCTAATCAGTTATTAAAACAGTAACACCGTTTCCTTGGGAAAACTCACTCTACATTTTAAAGGACCGATATCCCCAGCTCTTTCCACATTAGACTATGATAGCCTTAAGAGTAGCAAAGAAATCTACATCTTTGGATCTAGGGGTTAGCATACTACAAAATTAGCATATTATCTATGTCTTATGCTTCCATCTAGATTTTAAATGAATCTTACACTCGAAGCACAAGCTTTGTTTATAACTGAGTATTGCTGCTATTTTTTGATCATATGACACGAACTAGATAGTTTGGTCCACATCAATTCCAAATCCCCAATCACGGAGTTCCCCAGCAGGGAGAAATTTTTGAAATGCGTGGGAACATTGGGTTATCACAATGACTGAAGGAAGATGGTGACATTTAGGGCTTGGGACTATGGATATTAGACATCCCACCAGGTATGGAATAGTCCCACACAACAAAGAATTCTCCTACCCCAAATGCAAATGGTGATGAGCTGAAGGAACCAAAAAATTTAACAGGAGTGAGAAATAATCATTAGGAGAGGCAGAAGAACAGAGACTAAGAGCACAAGCTTTGAGTCAGGTAGACTAAAGTTCAGATTCCTGTTCCACTGTATGATGCAGGGCACCCCTGGGCAAGTTACTCTGTCTCTTTCAGCTCTGTTCCCTCATCTGTAGAGAAGTTTTATAATAGCACCTACTCCATATGGTTTTTGGAAGTAAAAAAATAAGATCATGTCCAGTAGACAGTAATATGAGCGCTCACTAAATGTTAGGCATTATTAGCTTGTCATGAAAACAGCTCTCTGATGTTAATTTTCATGAAAAAAAAAATTAGACCACGTCCCTCTTGCGCTTTTAGGACAAAAATATAAGGCCTCCTCATCCCCCACCCACACACTGCAAAATTTTACCACCTCGGAGTCTATTAGTGCTTAGGCAACATATTATTTTTGGTTCCCCTTCGCACATCTCATTTTTTCACTTGTTCTTCGTATTTTTCATTAATTAACCAATATACTTACCACCCTTTGCCCCGCTATCAGAAAAACTGTTGCTGTTTTTAGAACTTTTTGAGTGAGTCCCCAGGAAGACACTTGCAGACTTGTTTTTTTGGGTATAAAAAGTCAACACCTCCTCCAGTTCAGCCTCACTGAAATGGGGAGAGAAAGTATGGTTAGAACGGGAAGGTGTTCTGGAAAATCTTTCTACCAGATTTTATTATGAAAATGGAGTAAGCTGAAGAAGGGGAAAACGAAAAGCACAAGCTGGGAACTCCCTATTAATAGATGGTAAAAAAATATATAAGTGAAGCAGTCTGAAAAATTTAAAGCATGACAAGGTTTTATTCATTCCACAGTGAATATTCTACATCTGCACTGTCCAATATAGTAGCCACTAGTCGTATGTGACTGCTTAGATTTAAATGAATTAAAATTAAAGATTCATTTCCTTGGTTACACTAGCCACATTTCAAGTACTCAGTAGCTACAACACAGAAAGTTCTATTGGACAGCCATGTTCTAAATCAGGGGTCAACCAACTACAGACAGTGGGCCAACCCTGACCAGCAGGCTGTTTTTGTATGGCTCCCAGCTAAGAACGGTTTTCATATTTTTAAAGAAGAGTATGCTATAGAGACCACATGTAGCTCACAAAGTCTGAAACATTTATGATCCGGTCCTTGGCAGTTTGTCCACCCCACTTCCAGATAATTGGAGTATATTCACTAAAGAAGCCACTTTGTCATAAATACGGAAACTCACCAGCGTAACCAAGGAAGATTTCCCTAACCACCTATACAGTGGAAGCTGAACCAGATGGTCTCTAGGTCACTTCAAATATTGAAATGATATGCACTTTTTACGAACATCCACAAAATGGAAAGTGTAAGGAAACAGATGAGGGCCCATAGAATTCTTCCAGTAAACATACTATGCATGGATTTTGTAAAATCTGTAGCAGCTCCTCAACGGCCTTTTGCATTTTTTTCCTGGAGCCTGGCTATGTTCCAGATAAGTGGCCTTCAAATAAGCAAAATATTCCTGCAATATTACAAAGAACCTATATCCTATCTTCAGAATACACTGTAATGACAACCTTGGAAACTGCTCCTATGGATCTCAGAGTAAACCCCAAGGTCTCCAAAGTAGCAAAGAATGGCCTGGCTAATTGGATCAAGATAGAGAGCTGAATGCTGAGATTTTTCAACCCCTAAAAGCTAACCTTAAGCATGAAGGGCTTGTTTTCTTTTATATACATTAGGCGCAACCCTTACAGTGCTGAGAAACTGCCAATTCCTCAAGCCACTCAACGTAGGCAAAATGTAGTCATCTCCACTGCATCAGTAGGTCAGGGCTAAATTCAGATCCAGTAAACACTAGACACCTCTAACTTCAGCTTTCCGAAGTGCTCCCTCAGCCCTTAGAGTGGTGTGTACTTTGAAGCTGTCTAGAAATACAGCCCAGATGCCCAGCAGCAGTGTTTTGATAACTAAAACCATGACAACAGCCAATAATTGGCTGAGATATGGAGAGATCAAGCCTATGAAACCCTTCTTCTCCTTCTAAGAGTGATTTTACTCACATCCATATGTTAGAAACAAGGGGCTACTGGGAATCAATGGGGCAGTGTGGAAGACAGAATAAGATACTTTTTATTAAGAATGTCTTCTACCTTGCTTGTCTGATGAACTCCTGAAAGTTTTCCGTATTCACCCCATCTTCCTCTTCTTCCTCAAGTTTCTTCTTCGACTTCTTTCCAGCCATTTGTTCTGTTTCCTATCCAGTCCCCAACCCCACAGAAAAACAAGATAAAACTGACTCCTGATAAATGCATACTTCATCATCTGGTTTCATTACCCTTGGGTTAATTTGTCTTTATAGTAAAGACATTTAATTCCTCCATGTACTTTTGCCACCTATAAATCTGATATATTATTTTCTGTCATTATTTCATGAAACATTTTAGAGTTTCCAAGTAAGAGTTGCATAATAAATATAAATTTTGATCATGTTTTTACTTTTTACTCAGGTAGCCCAGTGAAAAAACAGCTTGGTAGTGTCTGTGGTCACACTTGAAGCTTTAATAGAATGACAGCAGAGACACTGTATTTTGTTACAGTTAGGGAAGAGGAAAGATAGGTCTTGGAAGATACTCCTATAGCAGCATCCAAATTGAGTAAATTCTTCACTTATGTAAGTTGTCCCAAAATTCTCAACAGAGCTGGAGTAGCTACGTAGCTATGGATTTGGTGTGTTGATACTGTACCGACCATCCCACACATTTCACAAAGGCTATTTAAATTTCCAGACCTCAGCTTTCCTTTCTGAAAAATGACCATGCTCCCCGCTCCCCCCACCCCAAAATGACATTTCTAAAGCATTCTAAGACCCTTGGATAAAAGGTGCTTTGCAGACTATTCTCACTAAATAGTCTATTTTCTGGGCTTGGTTGTAAAATGAAGTCACTATCTAAAATGCTCTAGAGAACAAAGTGTAACTCTTTCAGGAAGGAAGGCTGTGTCACTGTATTAAATCCACAGTACAAATTTTCTCTCAAATAGTCAATTCACCAACTGTCTCCAGGCACAATAATGACAACGCAAATTCACATAGCCCAGGATTCATCTCAGGTGCAACAGCACTCAAAAGGAATGTGCCTTTGGATGAGAGTGAACTACGGCCCCTGGGCCTTCACAAGTAGTCAAAAGTAGCTTTTCAGACCAGCTGGTTAGGGAGTGATGTCCTGCTCCCCATAATGTCCCACAAAGCACGTGATAATGCTAAAAGGGAAGAAGAACCTCTCCGCTCAGCTGGACAGAGGCTTCTAGCCTGTTTCTGACAGTGCGTGGCGATCCAAAGCACAAGACTAACAGATGAACCACCTACCTTGTTGTACACAATGATAAAGTCACCCAGGTGGTGGGCCAGGATTCTTCTGCGCTCCAGAAGTGCCAGTCTCCGACTGGGTAATACCATCCTCAGTGAGTGCTGGAGGTTACTTGATGCTCGCTTGAGGAAACGAACCACTAGCTCCTATAAATTAAAGAGTCATTGGGGGAAAAAAAGAAGGGATTGTGCTTAAGCAACAGAAGACAAGCTACAAGGGGATTACACAATAGAGAGATAAGAAGAGGTATACTATACACTTCAACAAATAAGACCCAGAGCAAACATACTAGGTGTAACAAGGATACAGTAAGACAAGAACAAAACGAAACAAACATATCCTCTTCCTTTAACAAGCTGGCAGTGGGAAAATCAAAATCAAGTATGTGTGCAAATAACTATGTAATAAAGTAGCAGCTGTAAAAGTACAATTCACATATACATAGTACTATAATAATTCAAAGTGCAGCTATCACTTCCAATAGGGTGGTCAGAGAAAGATACTTAGGGAAAGTAATAGGTAGAGGAAACTAAAACCATGGATCAAGTCATCAAAGGTGAGAAGGGAGAGAAAGAATACAGAAATACTGACACTCAGAGAGTGGAAAGAGGAGAAAGAATCAGAAAAAAACAAACAACAACCACAACAAACCATGACAGAAACATCAGAAATGTAGAAAGAAACACGGGAGAAAAGTGTCATGCAAGCCAAGGGAGGAAGGCTCCCATGTCACAGCTTCCAAGAGGCTGGAGCAGGAAAGGACCACAACCACTTTCAGCAGAGTAAAGGGGACAGAAAGTAGAGATTAAGAAACGAATGGATACTGAAGAATACAGGTGAAGAGCAGAAACTACTGATTTAAAAAGTTTAGTGACTAATGGAAAGAAAGAACTGTTACCAGGCTTGCAAGGTGATAGCTTTTTGTTTATTTTTTCTTCCCCAAGAATAAGGATGCTTTTAGAGTTGGGGGTTGGCAAAGAGGGCATAGTGAAAGGTCATTAAGGGGTAGCAGGGATACATCTCACTTGAGATGGGGCAAAGGATTTTGAAATCTGAACAGATACCAATCAGATCATTCATAACATCACAAATGCTTCAGAGAGAGATTTTTGCAAGGCCAAGGGCCTTAAAGATAGTAGTTCCCCGCACCCAACCCCCAAACACAGTAAAATTGCCTGAAGATGATGGATTTGGGGAACTTCTGTCAATGTGCCTTCCGTGAATTACGTGATAAAGAAGCTCTAAACCTAACTTGGATCAGAGAAGGCAATTCTACACCTACCTTCCTCATAAACAAGACCACTGCCACAATCATCAGGTAATGCCTTAGGGTTTGTTGTTTAGATAGATTTTCAAACAGGAATGCACACAACTGATACTAAGTTCTGCAGTGATGATCCTAAATATTCTTATAAAAAGCTCCATAGAAATCCTGTGTGAATTCCAAGTCAGCAGTTGCAATAGTTACTCTTCTGAGCTATTTCTTTCTTCTTGAATTTGATTTTGGTTCACTGTCCTTTGGTGACAATTTACTCCAACATAAAGAAACAGTCTCATAACCAGAGGGTTGGATTTCATAGGTCTACCCTGCTGTCTTTACTATAGGCTGGTTTAAGCTGTTATATTAAAACATTATTTTTTCACAGTGGAGCAGACAAACTGACTCTCAAAAAGGCAGTTTCAATTTTCCACTTGGAAAGAGCAGAGCTAACATTTTCCACTGATGGTTGAAAAATTACAACACACAAGGTTTAATCTCTGGGTTGTATTGGCTACTTTAAATTCACAAGTTGTTTTCTGGGATATCCATCATGCTTTTATAATAGGCCCAGCATATTGTATGCCTCTTATATGTGGAGAACTGAAAATTACAGTAGGATCACCACTGAGCTGGACAAAGGATGCAGCTTTCTCAGACTTAATGGTCCTTCTCTTTTCAGTGACAGATCCCTGTGGTTAAAAAGCCTAAGGAAGGGCTGTGGCTTCTTCTATATGCGTTGACCTTACCAAAGAGCTTGAAGCTCCCTGTCATTCTGATCCAAAAAGGAAAACATTGCTAGTATATTAAATTTTAGGCAGGTTCGAATGACCAATATACAGTAAAAATTATTACACAAGTTTGTTTCCAGTAATCTAAGAATTTTATAAAGTGACAACTAGTAAAGAAAAAAACGTTAAAATGGAGGATGGTACATTCTCAGAGGGCCCGTGATAAAGTGTTGATTTTCAAAGAGCTAACTTGACCCCCCAGGACAGAAAATAAATGCCTTATGACCCATGGAAATAGTGCCAGAGCAAATAATGTACAATTGCAACATTTGAGTTTAAGTTCCGGTTTCAGCACATATGAGCTACAGGACAACAGGCAAGTTACCCCCTTCCTCTAGGTCTTTGCTTCCTCCTCTGCAAATGGAGATGACAGTGCCTACATCAAAGAATTAATAAAATGTGAAGCTGCTTGAGAAAGGACTCTGCAAATTGTTATTCCTTTCTAGGGCTTTGCACGGGCCTGACATCTAATGAGCAATCAATTTCCATTTTCTGAATGAAGTAAATCAATGCCCTCAACACATACTGTGATGAACATGGCTCCAGATCCAAGATTCACTTCACAGAAAAGTAAGAGAAATCTGCAAGCTATACGTGGAATAATTCTTTTACCACAAGTATACTGTTCTTTATCTTAGTATAGGAAAAAAAAGAAAAGAAGGAAGGAGGAAGGAAGGAAGGAAGGGAGGGAGGGAGGGAGGGAGGGAGGGAGGGAGAGTAAGAGAAAGTAAAAAGGTTCCAACAAGAAGAGCCTCACCATCTGTTCATCTTCTTTGGCAGCCCAACTGGCACTGAACGTTTGACCTCCACTGTCTTTCATCAGTCGGATTTGAACATGCTGGAGATAGGCAGAGAATGCTATTCGGGCCTGCACTTTGCTACAGAAATCCAAAACAACATACCGTTATGAGACAGAATGGTGCACCTACCATATGTGTGCTTGCCTCTCTCAAAGTGGCCTTTGAGGATCCTTCTATTAGGATGGCTAAGAAAAATGAAGCCCATCATACAGTCACTGAGTAAAGATTCCTTCCACCCAGTACATGAGATTTCTTTTTTTCTATTTAAAGAATCAGAGATGGAGAACCCTACTTATTTTCTCATTATTACCATGGCGTGGGGGGCGGGGGGGAAATCAAGCAAGAATAGAGAATCATGTTTCCTACTCTTATACCTTATCTTTTGGAACTTTTAAACAACTTTCTCGGGGAAATGGACAGGAAAAGTACCGAATTTTCACAAGAACCTTTGTATTGATACAGAAAGGTTTTTCTGCCTTGGAGGCCCTTAAAAACATGCTTATCAGTTAGTACAAAAGTATGGCTTTTGCTATAGCAACTAATTTCTGGTGTGCAAAAGCCTCCAAAGCAGGAAACAGATAAATCCTACAAAGGAACTTTGAGACCAAATATAAGGTCAGGCTTTTCTCAACTACAAGACGGGAGTGGCTGGAGCCCAGAACAAATGAGTGAGGTCCAACGGAGTTTGGCATAGATGCACTGACCGGCTAGGATGAGCCCAGATGTTCAGGGGGAAAAAGAAGTCCACACATATAGTAAAAAGCACCTCAGCAACATCACTGAAGAAGCCAGCTGATTTCTAGGTTGGAAACAAGGAAATCTGATCAAGCTATCATTTAGAAGACAGGAGTACCAGAGAAACACTGATGACTTTCACTTCAGCTGCTAACTGCAGAAGATCTGTTTTCTTTCAGGAGAGACTGTAGTTACTTCAGCTGCTTGGCCTTCTGACATGCTAGCCAAAATTACATCAGCGAAGATTAGGGCCCAACACAAACTTTGTTTACAATCCTCACACATGCAATCACTGAATGCTTTCTACTCACTGTTCCCCCAAGGTTAGGACGAAGGACTTGTCCAGAGTAAACTGGAAATCCTAGGAGGGTCTACATCTATCTTCTATGTGTGTGCTGGAAGGGAGAGGAGTCAGGTTGGGGAGTAGATTTGCTTTTCAAGCTCTTCAGAGTATGAAATATAAGGCTACATCTTTGTTATTAATAGGAATAGTTTATGGGAGCACAATATGATTTTGAAATTTATATTTTCAAATGTTTTTCATCAAGAAGAACACTTAAAATCCTTGTTCTGGAGACCATATACACTTTCCCCTCAACCGTTCCCATAAGCTAATTATTTTCAAGTCAAAATAAATGAAAAAAGACTCTCCATTTTGGTCAACAAATTCACTTGCAATAAAGTGAGCTAAAAATGGTATGTTTCAGACACCTCCAAATGTAGCAAAATACCCAATTTTATTGACAATTTCCCTAATATTAAAATATGAAGGTCTTTTGGATAAGGGAATTACTGCTTGGAAGTTGAGATTTCAATCAACCTTTTGTTGCAAATCACTGTTGTAAATCAAACGAACAAGAACTGAGTTTTCCATCTCTAAAAACCTTACTAGAGATCTGTGGGATGTTAATCCTGAGGTTGTCCCTAAGGTATTGGACACATTGGTCAGCTAGTAATCTGTAACTGACAAACCAAAATAATAGAATAATTTACACCAAAGAAATCTATTTAAAAAAAATAAAATCCTATGGAGATCCTCAGCATACAAAAATATACAACTAGTGGGCTGGGGCCTGGAGCCTCGAATCCTTGCCATGGAACACCCCCAGATCCCTCAGTAGCCACTGAGATGCTCCACAGAATTATGGGCAGCTCCAGGGAACACAGTTTGAAAACCACTGATTTATTACATTAACACACCCTGCAATTACAAGAGTTTACTCTTTAAAAGTAAGATCCGTAAGATTTATGAATAACTCATTTATTTCTACAACATCTAAGCAGAATTTTATTGCTGGAAAGGACATGAGAATATAGTCCAGTGGTTTTCAAATGTTCTATTTCAATTCAGTGGACTCCTCCTTCCTCTCTAGAGAGCACAGTTTGAAAAACCTGTCTATGTCTAACCCCATACCCTGGCCTAACAGAAAAGAAAACTGAGGCCTAGAGAAGCTCTCGGACTTGCCTGTGGTCACAATGCCAGTTGGCAAGCACTGAAAAGCCAGAGTCAAGTCTTCTGACAGAGCCCTCTCTGCTCTCCACTAATGCAACTACTCATTCTCCACGCACCATTCCAAACCTTAACTCTGCCCTCCAATCCCCTAAACGCCAATATCACCCTCCATCCTTGCAGTATAAGAACTCACCTCCAGCTTAGAAACTAAAGGCCGCCATGCTTATATAACTACACTTCCTGCCTCTTTAACCTCTAACTACTGCATTCATTACAGGAAGAGACACCCCTCCATTGGCCTCTTCCTACCTTCCTTTAGGACAATATATCCATTTCTGTATCTCTAATTCTTTTACTATCAAAGCCTCCCCCTAATCTCTAAATAAGCTCCAGAATCCCAGAATCTTTTTTCTCTTAGCTTGCTCCCTCTTTCTGATGAGTTCTCACCTGTCTTTCATTCATTGTCAAACTCTCTGAAAAAGTTAGTTCACACTTGCTTTCCTATTTGCTCAACTCACAATTTCTCTTCTACCCACGAAGTCCACCCCCAGGTCATAAATGCAGGAGACTCTTTTCAGGTCTCATCCTAACTTGGGCTGCCAGAGGCACTCTATAGCTTGAAACTCTCATCTTGTAGCTTTTCTATACTGTCTCCTCCCCGTTTTATAGCTACCACTCTAACTGCTACTCCTTGGTCTCTTTACTATTAAACACTGGTTTTCCCCAGGCCTCAGTTCTCTTCCTTTTCTCCTGTCTATGCCTGCTGAACTAAACTGAAATGCACAAGCTCATCTACTCTGAAGTTGTACAGTCCTGTTCAACTCTGACTTTCAAAGCTGTATTTTCACCTATCTACTGATCATCTTCATGCCAGAGCACTTCCACCTCACCGTGTCCCAATTAAAACACATTATTTCTATCATGAAACCAACTCCTGTGCTCCTTATATTGACTGATGGCAGCACCAAGTTACCAAACTTGGAAAATTCAGTCTCTTTGGAATTCTTACATCTACAGGGACCAAGCCCTACCAATTTTAACTTGCAAATTTCATTAACTCCATCCCATTCTCTTCATTCCTATAGCCACTGCTCTGATCAGGACCTTCATCTTCCTGGCTCTGGACTACTTTAACAGTCCCTAACTCAGCTCTCAACCCTTAGTTCTCCTCTTATCAATCACTTTCCCACAATGCAACCAGAATTTACTTTCTTTTTTTTTTTCTTTCATCTTTATTGGAGTATAATTGCTTTACAATGGTGTGCTAGTTTCTGCTTTATAACAAAGTGAATCAGTTATACATATGTTCCCATATCTGACCATATCACACATCTGCTTAAAAATTATCCATCTAGGAAATAAAGTCCAGGCTCCTCTATGGCACTTTATGATCAAATGACATCCAATTTTTTAGTCTCACTGCTTATTGCACCCTTTTCTCCATGTAACGTCACACCAGTAATCTGTATTTCTCAAACTTGCCAAGCTCATTCCAATTTCAGGTTCTTTATACTTGCCGTTCTGCCTGGAATATTCTGCTCCCTGATATTCACATGACTTACTCCTTCTCATCATTTAGGACTCACCTTAAAGCTTACCTCTCCATGCCCAAAGCACCAGAAGCTACAGAAACTTTCTGTCCAATTACACTCTAATACTACACCCTATTTTATTGTCTACACAGCACTTCTTACTGCCTGAAATTACCTTGTTTCTTTGTTTACTGTCAGTCTTCCCCACTAGACTGTGGGCTCCACGACTGTTTTGGTCTCCACCGTAACACTATACAGCCCAGCACAATTCCTGGTACAGATCAAATGCTCAATAAATATTTGTCGAGGAACTGAATGAATGACTGTACTTCCACCCCTCTGTGCCTTTATTCCCTCTACTAACACTCCCATACTTAGCTGTCACCTCCCAAATCCGGAAAGCCTACCTATCGGGGAAGGCCTGGTTCAAATATTGCCTCTTCCCTAATGTCTCTCTAGCCCTCCCAAGCAAGACCAATCACTCCTTTTCCTGTGCCCTAAGAGCCCTTTGTCCATACTGGGGTCATAGCCCCCGCTCTTTAAGTGTCCCCAACTCTAAGCCATGAACTGCTTGAGCTCCCTGTCTCAGTTGCCTTGTCCTCTTAAGTCACTAATGCTGAAACCCAACAAGTATTTGTTGAGCCAATGAGACCTGGGTTTGTATCACAGTTCTAGACCTTGGACAAGCAACTTCTCTAAGGCTCAGTTTCCTTGACAGTAATAATATCAAATCACAGTCATTAATTCACAGGATTCCTGTGCATAAGAAATGAAAAATGGCTATAAGGCCACAAGCACAATACCCTGGTACACAGTACAAATTAGCTGTTTTCAGTTTTGCTATTATAATTAGGAAAGGTACATACCTAAGATTGCCATTATCTTGCAGAATCTGCATCAGGTTAAATTTAGGCTCTGGTTCCTGAGTCTCGGTCTTGCAGCAATGTTCACCTTTGTCATTCCATTCAGGAACTTTCACGGCATTTTCTTTGGGTGAATTTTCTACCATAACGGTCAGTGAGGGTGTGTGTTTGGCTCGATTTTCTCCGAGGGACCCTGCAGACTCCTCCTGGGAAGCTTCCTGTTCTTCATCTTCACTGTCTAAGGCAACTTCTTCCTCCTCTTCGCTCTCTGTCTCAGTTTTAACATTCATTTCAGCTGGTTGGGTAATCACTAAATGCGAAGAATCACTAATGTTGCTGAAAAAAGGATTAAATTTTCCTCTCTCCCAATACCTTCCTTTTATCTTTTCAGTAAAAACCCATTTCTAAATCAGACCACAAATAATGCACAAAATTAACAACATACACACGTCCCTCTTATATATTCTAAAAACCTATTAATGATCTTCATTAGAGTTGATGTTTCTCATCGATATACCAATGCTTCTGTCATAACTTAAGGCAAAAACCCTTTTAGTAGAGTAACCTCTACAGTGTGTTAGAGGTTTTCAGAAGGGCATCTTTCACGGGGGTACAATAAGCAGGGGAATATCTTTCTATCATATGTTTATCCATTATCCTTCTCCTTCACTGCCTTGGAAGGTCTATGAGGACAAGGACCATAGCTTTTTTATTCACCAATGAAACCCCAGTGACTAATGTGCTTGATACAGGCACTCAACGAACGAGAGAAGGAGGGAGAAAAAGGAAGTCAATTCGTCCGTGACAAACAAATCTGTAACAAGGGAGATTCTAGGAGAGAAAGAAATTCCCCTTTTTCTGTTCATGTTTAAAATACTTACACAATTCAGCAATGTCAAAGGACGAACTGGACTTCATACCTAATCATGAAAAACCCAAACAATGACGCTCAGGGTTCCATTAAACTTAAGCTAAGTATCAGGTAGTTAAATGATGCTGTCAAAGGCCAAAACGTGTGCACTTCGGATATTCTTCAGTACAAATGTCACAGAATGGAAGGTTTAAAAACTTATTATCCTTTTGAAACAAGTTTCCGAGGAAAAAGACTATATCAAAAAAAGTAAGCGTATGTGGTCAGAAAGTCCTGATTCATTAAGTGTTAATTAAGAAGCTGATTAAATCGGTCTGACAGGACACAGATCATAGAGCTTGGTGGAAGCTCACCAGCCGGTACCTGGGTATTTTGGCCGCATTGCCCTCAATCTGCCACTCCGTCGTCGACGTTTTCGCACCTCCAGAGACAGGAGCTTCCTCTCATAAAGAGCAGCGTGCAACTTGGCCCTTAAATTCATATTCTCTACCTTCAATTCTGGTGCTCCATCAACCGCAACTCTATGGGAAAAAACATGGTACCTAGAGCCTTCAGAAAGTTCTCTCCTTTATTCCAAGTCTAAGTTTGACAGAACTCTGTAATGATGTCAGGCCAGGCATGGTTACTCTAGTGAATTCTAAAATGTTTGACAGATAAATGGGAATACTGGAATCTACATTAGAATTTCACTAATGGGCTATCTGAATTTGTTAAATGTTCTGAACAAAAATATATCTGAAGACAATGTTTAAGTATTTTTAAGTATTCAGTAATACTGGCTGACTATTCAGTACAGAGATCATAAAGTGCTACCCAACTATGCCTTAAGAATGACTAGAGATACTGGTAACACTTTAATTCTCACTAAGCTGGCGATGGCTAGAGGTGCACTTATTTTATTTATTCATTATAACTTACTCAGAATTACACAAATATTCCTTTGACATATATAATATTTAATAAATACAGATTTAGCACAGGTTGAGACGAGGAGAGGGATGGCTGATAATCTGTGAATATGGCAGCACAGAGCTGAAGGAGACTCACAGGGAAAGCATCTTCGTGAAAAGTCACCAAGACCTTGGGACGCACCAAGTCTCAAGCGCTCCAACAGGAGGAACGTCTCTTGGAGCGTACTTAGTTACAGGAGGAGCTGGGGAGAGGTGGCAGGGACTCTCCAGGTATTGAGTACAGGTCAGGAGTTAGGGTCAGAGGCACAGACAAGGGAAGGCAGCAGATGCAGGACAACACCAAATTCCATCAGATCATGGATGGGAAATGGGATGAGGAGAGGGAATGGCTACAGGTACATTAGGCATTAGATAAAATAAATCATACATTAGGTTAAGTGACAGGAATCAGACCCAACCCACACAAGGACCGGGCAAAGTACAGCACAGGCAGAGATAACCAGGTCACAAAAGAGAGACAGGGTTCTTGGTCACTAAGTCAGAAAAGACGTATCCATGTTAGTGTCGGAAAGCAGGCAGCCAACTCTGTATACCCAGAACTCAAGATCTAACTGGTTGGCTCTGAACTCTCTCTCTTGTGAACTCTTCACAACTCAAAGCGTATTCCCTTTGAGGTGGAAATTCATCCTCATTCCTCTGGGAGTTTTCAGTCCCTGAGTATGATGGAAAGGCTGTGTCTTTTGGTCTAGTTAGGACTTTTAGAGTTTTCTGGGTGGATGGACTGGATAGTAAGTATTTTGAAGGCCTCCCCTCTAAAGCGGGGAATTGAACCAAGAACTGGGAGGGTCCTGATACGGGGTGCAGGAAAGGGAAGCAAATTAATAAACTTTAAAAATAGTTCAACCCCAGTGTATCATAGTCTCAACCACTGAACATTACCCCCTCACACACACACACACACACAGTTATGAAAATAGATTTTTGGCCAATTAAATAATAAAGAAAATAAAACAAATCTGATATTTTAAAATAACAACTATAAGCTTCTAAGAAACCCTGAACAGACATATAAATCACAACTATTACAAGGAATGGAGGCAGGGAATGCTGGGGAAAGAAACAGAATTATAGTTCTATAGAGGCAAGGCCCACGCTTGTCTTGTTTCTCACTGGATCAGTGATGCTTACGAGAGTGCTCAGCACGCACCTGACATACCATAAATATTTCTGAATTAATAAACAACTGAATTCCCCGTAAGTTGTAATACCTTTTATCTATGTCTACTTTATTTCATTTTTCTACACTTTTACTATGAAATATTTAAACAAATAGAAAGATTTAAAGAATTATACAGTGAACATCCATACACCCACTGGCCAGCTTCTAAAATGAATATCTTACTATATTTGTTTCATCACATATATATCCAGCCTTCTCTTCTTCTATCCATCAATCAGTCCACTTCATTTTTAAAGCATTTCAAAGTTGCACAAAGACATCAGTGCACTTCACTCCTCAACACTTTAACACTCAAATCATTAGGATCTAGAGTTCAATATTTTATAGGGCTTTGAAAGTTTTTTCTCTTTTCTTTTTTTGGGGGGGGGCGGGGGGAGCTAAAAATGACACACAGTGAAACATCCAAATAGTAAATGTCCATATGTCCATCTGATGAGACCTAGAGCTATATAACCCAAACTCTAACATTACTATCCCCTCAGAAAGTTCTCATGCCCCTTCCCAGTAAATCCCTCCCTCATACTCCCGAAGGAAACCGTTCTGAATTTTTGCATCACGTTAGGTTTGCCTGTCCTAGAACTTCAGAAAGATGGAATAGTATAGTATGAACCCTTTTGTGCTGTCTTTCATGCAGCATTTTTTGAGATTGATCCATGTTGTGAGTATCAGTGTGGATCCTTTTTCTGGCTGAGCATTAGTGCAGGGTATGAATAATCCACGGTTCACCTATTCCCCTATTGTTGGACACCGAAGCTGCTTCTCGTTTTGGAATATTATGAATGAAGCTGCTATGACCATTTTTGTACAAGTCACTTTGTGGTTATGCTTTTCATTTCTTCTGAGTAAAGATCTCAGAGTGGAATTTTCTAGGCTAACAAACTGCCAGACTCTAAAGTGCCTGTACCGGGCTTCCCTGGTGGCGCAGTGGTTGGGAGTACGCCTGCCGATGCAGGGGACGTGGGTTCGGGCCCCGGTCCGGGAGGATCCCACATGCCGCAGAGCGGCTGGGCCCGTGAGCCATGGCCGCTGGGCCTGCGCGTCCGGAGCCTGTGCTCCGCAACGGGAGAAGCCATAGCAGTGAGAGGCCCACGTACCGAAAAAAAAAAAAAAAAAAAAGTATTAAAGTCCCTGTACCAGTTTACGCTGCCAGTGACAATTTATCAGAGTTCCATGAGCTCCACATCCTCACTATTTGATGTTGTCAGCCATTTTTTTCCAGTTTTATTGAGGTATAATTGACAAATAAAATTATATTTAAAGTATACAATGTAATGATTTGATACAATTTTAGCCATTCTGCTGGATGTTTAGTGGTATCTCATGATTTTAATTTGCAATTCTCTTATAACAAAGGTTGTAAAGCACATTTTCGTTAGTATATTGGTTATTCATATATCTTCCTTTTAAAATGTCCAAGCATTTTACCCATTTGTAACTGGGCTGATTGTCTTATAATTATTTAGTTGTAGGAGTTTGTTATATTTTCTATATAGAAGTCCTTTGACAGATATGTTTGATGAATATCTTCACTCAGTCTATGGCTTGTCTAGTAATTTTCTTAATAGTGTCTTTATAACAAAAATATTTAATTTTGAGGAAATCAAACTTAGCATTTTTTCATTTTTGCTGATTATTTACTGTGTCATGTCTAAAAACTTTTGCCAAGCCCAAAGTCACAAAGATATTTTCCTTACAAAGTTTTAGACTAATAGCTTTTACGTTTATGTCTATGAATCACCTCTAATTTTTGTGGGAGACAGAGGTTAAAGTTCACTTTTTAAAATACAATATTCAGTTCCAGCCCCATTTATTAAAAAGTTTCCTTTCCCCATTGGATTACTTTAGGCCTTTTGTTTAAAGTCATGCAGGCCTATTTCTGGGCTCTTTATTCTGTTCCATTGATCAATTTGCAACAGTTTTGATTACTATAGCATTATAATATTTCTTCTTCTAGGTACTCTAGGTCTTCTTCAAGATTACTTTGGATATTCTAAGCTCTTTGCATTTTCATATACATTGAAAAAAAGGTCAATTTCTACAAAAAAATCTACTAGAATATTCTTTAGATCAATTTGGGGAGAATGAATACTTACAATATTAAGTCTTCTAATCCATGAACATGACATATCTCTGCACTTACTTAGATCTTCTTTAATCTCTTAATTTATTTATTAAATTGTGTTGGGTCTTCATTGCTGTGTGCAGGCTTTCTCTAGTTGCAGCGAGTGGGGGCTACTCTTTGCTGCGGTGCACAGGCTTCTCATTGCGGTGGCTTCTCTTGTTGCAGAGCACGGGCTCTAGGTGCACGGGCTTCAGTAGTTGTGGCGTGTGGGCTCCAGAGCGCGGGCTCAGTAGCTGTGGCACACGGGCTTAGCTGCTCCGTGGCATGTGGGATCTTCCCGGACCAGGGCTCGAACCTGTGTCCCCTGCATTGGCAGGCAGATTCTTAACCACTCTGCCACCAGGGAAGTCCTCTTTAATCTCTTTAAGTAATATTTAGGAGCTTTTAATATATAGGTATTGAGCATATTTTGTTAAATTTACCCCTAAGAATTTCATATTTTCAAAAGCTATTATAAATGGAATTTTAAATTTCATTTTCCATTTACTGCTAGTATACTAAAAAAAACAACAGATTTTAGTATATTGACCTTGTATCCCAAGACCTTGCTAAGTGCACTTGAATGTTCTTGTAGTTATTCTGTGTATGCCTTATAACTTTCTACTAACCTGATCATGTCATCTAAGAGTAAAGATATTTAACCTCTTCCTTTCTAATCTGTATGCCTTTTACTTCTTTTTCTTCCCCTTGCTTTATTGTACTGCCTAGGACCTCTAGTATAAAGGGAATACAAGTGGTGAAAGCAGACATCTTGCCTTATCACTAATCATAGGGTAACCCTCATTATGTCAGTATGACGTTAGAAGTAGGTTTTTCATAGAAGGCCTTTATCAGGCTGAAGAATTTCTCTTCTATGCCTGATGTGTAAGAGTTTTTCTCATAAACATGTGGTGAATTTCATCAATTTAACACACATGGGTTTTTCTTTTTTTTTTTTCAGCAATAAAATGATGATCTGGTTTTTTTCCCCTTTAATTAATATGGTGAATTATATTGACTAATTTTCAAATGTTAAATCAACCTTGCATTACTGGGGAAAATCTCACTTTAGTCATCTGTATTATCCTTTTCATATACTGATGGATTCTATTTGCTAATATTCTTTTAAGAAATTCTGTATCTATGTTCATGTAGATATTAGCCTATAATTTTTTTAAATGTCTTTGTCAGGTTTTCATGTCATACTTTTCTGGCATCATAAAATGAATTGGGAAGTATCCTTGCCTATGTTTTTGAAAGAGTTTGCGTAAGACTGGTGCATATTCTTCCTCAAATGCTGATACAATTCACCAGTGAAACTACCTGGAGTTTGCTTTGTAGGAAAGTTTTTGATTACAAATTCAATATTCTGATTAAGTATTGCAGCTCTATTTACAATAGCCAGGACATGGAAGCAACCTAAGTGTCCATCATCGGATGAATGGATAAAGAAGATGTGGCACATATATACAATGGAATATTACTCAGCCATAAAAAGAAACGAAATTGAGATATTTGTAGTGAGGTGGATGGACCTAGAGTCTGTCATACAGAGTGAAGTAAGTCAGGAAGAGAAAAACAAATACCGTATGCTAACACATATATATGGAATCTAAGGAAAAAAAAAAAGGTCGTGAAGAACCTAGGGGTAAGACGGGAATAAAGACACAGACCTACTAGAGAATGGACTTGAGGATATGGGGAGGGGGAAGGGTAAGCTGTGACAAAGTGAGAGAGTGGCATGGACATATATACACTACCAAACATAAAATAGCTAGCTAGTGGGAAGCAGCCGCATAGCACAGAGAGATCAGCTAGGTGGTTTGTGACCACCTAGAGGGGTGAGATAGGGAGGGCGGGAGGGAGGGAGACACAAGAGGGAAGAGATATGGGAACATATGTATATGTATAACTGATTCACTTTGTTATAAAGCAGAAACTAACACACCACTGTAAAGCAATTATACTCCAATAAAGGTGTTTAATAAATAAATAAAAATAAAGCTATAAGTCACACCCATCACACACACCACGAAACAGTACTTTAGCTGCACCCCACACATTTTAATGTTATATTTTTATTATTGTTCAGTTCAAAATGTTTTGAATTTTCCTTATGATTTCTTCCTTGACCCATGTATTATTTAGAAACGTGTTGTTTAATTCCCAAATATTTGTTATTGATTTCTAATATCATTGTAGTCAAAGGACACACTCTGTATGATTTTAATCCTTTCAAACGTATTAAGACTTGTTTCATGCTCCAGCATAAGGTTTGTCATATGCCACCTTTTATTTGCTTATACCTCTATACCACCAGAAAACCCATAATGATGGCAATATAAATTGTCCTAAAGAAAGGACAAAACCCCACTGATCTTTAAATATTCTGGTTGTTTAAGTATTTTTTTCTAATTTCCAAATTGATAGTAGTATACTCTAGGAAGTATATTCCTTGACTAGTAACTGGAGAAAATCTATAAACTAAGCATGACTTTCATTTGGAAACAAGGTACAAAACTTGATTTCTCTCAGTTTTCCCTACATTAAATGGCAATCATATTTTCCTTCTTTAAATAAGGATTAGATTTATGCTTCAAAAGATTTGGAAGAGAAAACCAAGTTTATCTTTTTTTTTTTTTTTGCGGTACGCGGGCCTCTCACTGTTGTGGCCTCTCCCGTCGCGGAGCACAGGCTACGGACGTGCAGGCTCAGCGGCCATGGCTCACGGGCCTAGCCGCTCCGCGGCACGTGGGATCTTTGCGGACCGTGGGATCTTTCTGGACCGGGGCACGAACTCGTGTCCCCTGCATCGGCAGGCGGACTCTCAATCACTGCGCCACCAGGGAAGCCCCCCTTATCTTAATTTTTAAATGTAAAACAAAAAGCTAGCTAGAGGAGGTTTCTTTCTTATTGTCATTTTGCTTTGTAAAGAGAAATAGCACAAAGGGGATTTACATAATCTCTCAAACCAGAAGATGTGTAATTAGGGTTGAGTTTTTGTTCTAGTTGCAGTCTTCAGTTGGGCAAGGCCATCCCAGCGGTTCTTCTAAGACCTTTCTCTCCTCTGCCAAAATTAAGAGCCACAGGTATTTTTCACACTTTTAGTTCCAAGGCAAAGTGGAAGCAACTCTGGTCAGTCCCATAAGGTGCAAAGCTGTATGCCCCAGGTATGTCAAGGCCAAAACATAACCTTTTCTTTGAATTTAGCATGAGACAGGTCTGGAAATCTCATTAATACTTTGGGCTCTCTCACACAGCCAAACAAGAATACTATTATTATCACTGAAATGACATATTGTAGTTATAAAATTATAAATCCCAAACTTAGTTTGTAAAATGTTGCCACGGAATAGTGCTTCAATAGAAAACATTTTTATGTTACTATTTAAGCTGAGTCAAACTGAAATGGTTATATAAAGTATCATGCTTAGCCTGTGTATGGTCACATATTATGCACATAGAAAGAACTTCTCAACTTTCAAAAATCAGTTACCGTGTTCTTCCTGTCAATAAGCTTCTTCTTGGGTTTCCCCTACAGAATTAGAAAGGACAAGTGGGTTAGAGCACTACACAGATATTCATTCTCTCCTGAGTTCACACACACACACACTCCTGAGATTTGTACTACAGAAATTCAACATAGAATTATGCCAGGGAAGGCATCTTGGGTTAGAAGCAGACAGATGAACTGAGAACATGCTCAGAAAAGAACAGAGTACCATAACCTTTAGGGAGGATCAATAAAAAACAAAAGGAAGAGGACAAATGAATTCTAGAGGAAATTTCTAACAATTACTTGCATTTGTGTATCTCGCCACAAATCTAATCACACTTATTCTTCACAACAACTGTTGAGCCCCATTTATAAAAAGGAGCAGGATAAGACCATTTTGTGACATGCCCAATGTCAGAGCTTTAAAGGGTTTAACGCTGAGCCTGTAACTTTGCTCTCAGACTCCAGTGTTCTTTCTACTTGCACTGAACTGTATTCGGGAAAGAAGCCAATCTCAATTCTCATGGGGTTCAAAAAAGATGCTCATGAGAAATAGATTTTCCATAATTAAAAAAATCTCTTTAAAAAAGAGATGTTCTTCATTGTCTCTAAACTAGAGTTGGGGTCTAACCACAGGAAGTAAGTACCATTCAGGTTTAAACTGGCTTTTGTTTTTCATTCAAATTCCTTTCACTTGACCCTCTCTTTTTTTTAAAAACATTTCCCCAGTTTTATTTGTACTCATTTGTGAGTGTGTATATTTAGTTCTGTACAATTTTATCACTGTGTAGGTTCATGAATCCACAGACAAGATACTGAACAATCCTATCACCATAAGGACCCCCTATGTTGCCCTTTTATAACCTAACCTCTGGCTTCCTTTAATCTGTTCTCCATTCTAAAATTTTATCCTTTCAAAATTGTTATATAAATGGAATCATACAACATGTAACCTATGATATTGGTTTATTAAAAAGGAGATGGATGCAATCAATACCAAGATCTTCTATCTATAGAAAAATCAAGTGAAAAATCTGTCTCCACCGAAACGTTTTATCTTTTCCTTCCCATGTCTTCTATCTGTGCCAGTGTCCTAATACTGTCAACTTATTATCAGAAATTATTTTAACTTTTATTATTTTAACTTTTTTATCAGATAATGGTTTGCACCAGTAATTCGCAATCATGGCTTCACATTATAATCACCTGAGCAGCTTTTAGTAAGTACAAGACTTCAGTCTGGGAAGGGCTAGGGCACAAATATGGTGTTACTAACATGCAGCCAGGGTTAAAATTACTGTCATGCTGTGAGACAGTAGGTATGACACTGTTTGCCAGGGCAGGGTGGGTAAGTGGGGGATGAGTCGGGGAGGGCAGAGAAGGCAGACAAAATGAACCAGTTATGAAATGAAATGATTAGAGAATTAGCTTGAAAGTAGTTCTGGCAGTAACGCAACAGGATTTGCAAGAGAGAACACATCCCTTCAGGTTGAAGAGAACAGATTTAATGGAGGATGTTAGGGCTTGCAAGCAACACAATTTCATTTTTTTAAGGCATGTTTTTGTGTGTGTGCCTACCACGTGGTAGGTTCTTGATAGTGACAGAGATGAACATAACAAAGTACCTACTCTTAAAAGCCAACTTGAAAGTAGACAGAGTAGTTAGTAAACAGACAATTATAATACAATATGTACAATATGGGAATCTAAATCAGGTGGAGGGATAAGAAGGGCGGGGAGAACTTCCTTCTAGTCTAGGTAAGAAGATGAAGGCCATGGCTAGAATAAGAATTCAGGATAAACTGAAGGTCACTCCAAGGGAATGTATGGGAATTCCAAGGGAATGTGAGGATAAAGAGGCATGAAAGAGCAGTACATATGGTCTGATTGGCCATGGGTTGGTATTGAAAAGTGGAGATTAGGCTAAAAAGATAGGCAAGAGTAAATCAGGAGGGCCTTTCTTTGCTAAACAGGGAAATTCATGTTTCTTGAATCAAAGTTTTTAGAATGCTTTATAAGCAGGAGTTGTTACTGCAGCCTTAAGAGAGAAGTCAGGGAGGGCACCAATTTGGATGGGAAAAAAGATTAATCCTCTATCTGAAATTTAGCATCATATACATGTAGGGGACCATCCACAGTAGTATAAGTGCGATTTTTTTTTAACATCTTTATTGGCGTATAATTGCTTTACAATGGTGTGTTAGTTTCTGCTTTATAACAAAGTGAATCAGTTATACATATACATATGTCCCCTTATCTCTTCCCTCTTGCGTCTCCCTCCCTCCCACCCTCCCTATCCCACCCCTCTAGGTGGTCACAAAGCACTGAGCTGATCTCCCTGTGCTATGCGGCTGCTTCCCACTAGCTATCTATTTTACGTTTGGTAGTGTATATATGTCCATGCCACTCTCTCACTTTGTCCCAGCTTACCCTTCCCCCTCCCCAGGTCCTCAAGTCCATTCTCTACGTCTGTGTCTTTATATAAGTGGGGTTTTGCTACCAAAAGAAATAACACGTTTCTTCATATTACTTTAGAGTTGTTCCAGGGTCACAAAATATTGCCAACACTTATCACACTTTTTAAATTATGGTAGTTATTAGACCCACTGCTATTAACACATCATTGAATGTGTTAATAAAGCAGCACATATGTCATTACATCTCAAATTTTTTTAATTGCTATGCTCCCCCCTAAAAGAATGCTTCCTAATTTTGGTGGTGGTTCCCAGATTGCCTGTTCCACCTTCCTTCTACCTCATGGGAAGCTCAACTGCAGAAAGATCTAGCCTCAAGCATAGAGTCCATGTCAGTTCAGAAACAGACTGACACAAGCTTTGAGGAAACTCACGCAAACCACCAATCCTAAGCAAACAGTCCATTACTTATAAATATGACTCTGGACAATCAAAAGTCACCAGACATTTCAGGAAATATAATAGCATAAACTAGAAAGAATGAGGTGAACAAATAGAAGTAATCCAGAAGAATTAAACATAGTGCAAAAAATAGAAAGGAACTTTAAATAAAGTAATTATGATAGTCAGAGAGATGTAAAAAGATATTTGGAATACTGTGATTTATAGTGAGAAACATATATTTGGTCTTCATCCCTGTTTCTGGCACAGAGCTCCTAAAACCCTTGAAATGTTTAAGTGATGAGTGGTAGAGGAGTTTTTTGTCACGCTAATGAGGTGACTTTTAGAAAGCCCTTGGATCAGCTAAGGATGAGGGCTGGTCACCAGAGGAACCAACCCTGTGATGAGAGGGTTGAAACTTTCAGTCTCATCCCCCTGAGCTCCTGGGAGGGGAGAGGGGCTAGAGATAGAGTTCAATTACCAATGGTTGATGATTTAATCAATCGTGCTTATGTAAGGGGGCCTCCATAAAAACCCAGGAGTATGGGGTTCAGAGAGCTTCCGGGTTGGTGATGTGGGGAGAATGGTGTACCTGGAGAGGGCATGAAGCTCCGTACCCTTTCCCTATACCTTGCCCTGTGCGTATTTTCCATCCGGTTGTTCATGAGTTAGATCTTTTTATAATAAACTGGTGATCTAATGAGTTAAATGTTTTTCTGAGTTCTGTGAGCCGCTCTAGCAAATTAATAGCACCCAAGGAAGGGGTCGTGGGAAGCTCTGATAGACAGCCAGTAGGTAGAAGTAAAGGTAAGAACCTGGGCCTGTGACGAGCATCTGAAGTTATGGGGGTGGAATCTTGTAGGACTGAACCCTTAAACTGTGGAATCTGATGCTAATCTCCAGGTAGACAGTATCAGAATTGAACTGAATTCTCGGACAACAGAAGGGTGCAACTGCTTGGTGCTGTAGGGGAAACACCCTACCTCCTCCACATTGGAATTGGTACCAGAACAAATTTAATATCATATCCAGAAACTATGAAAACTAGTCAGAAAGCAAAAACAGTTCTTGGATGTTAAAATCATACTTGCCAAAATAAAAAAAAGTAGATCAAACAACCCTCTTCTGTGCTGGTACGGAGTAACAAAATAGGTAAGGCTGAAGATCAATTTAGAATTTTAGAAGACAAAATTCAAGAAATCTCCAAGAATTTACAGCTAAGAGACAATGAGATCAAAAGTATGAGAAAAAGGTAAAGAAATACAGAGGACAGAGCAAAAGATCCAAATTTCATCTAACAGAAGTTCCACAAGGAGAGGAAAGACAGGATAAGGGGAATATTTCCCACAGTTAATAGACTTAAATCTCCAGACTGAAAGGATTCATCCACCGCAAAAGCAAAATAATGAAAAGTAACATGCCAGAACACACCTCGGTATAATGTCTGAAAAGTAAAGATAAAGAAGCCTTGTAAAATTTTCCAGGGAGGAGGTAGGGGGTGGGGCACTGGGACCAGGTTATATATAAAGAATTGAGCTTCTATGTCTTCCAAGTAAATCTCAAGATCTCTTTCGTTAGAAGCTACACAGTGTAATTACTCAATGGTAATAACCACAAATTTACAGAGAGAAACTGGAAATCCCATATAGATCCTGATAGTGGATAATGAAATTACAAGAAATGGCTGGAATCTGGGTATCTATTTTTAAGAATCCCACAAAAAAAGCACACATACCTTGAAAATAATGCAGATTTCTTTAAATAACTAAGGTTCCTTGTTAGTCAATTACTGAACTGTACTGTAATGCAGTTATGTCTCAGGGGCAACAGAAGTATGTGGGACTAAGCAGTCCCTGGCTGCTGTGCTAGTTGAATTCCAATGTCTGCTTTCCATCATTTCTCCCCTATTTTCCCTTGTATTGAGGTTATCAGTTGTCATTTCTTACAACTCTCACTGTATTTATTTTGCGAATTACCACCCCTCCACCTTTTCTAATCTGATCCTTCTAATCTCGTCTAGTCTAGAAAAACAGATAATCATGTCTGTTAAAATTGCGTCTGAAAGTTAAAAGGCACTGAGTAAAGTCCTTCCTTTAAGAAGGACAAGTTTTAGGGTATGTGTTAAGATTGCTTAAAGATCTTTACGGTTTAATTTTGTAGCATCTGGAAATATTACAAAGTGCTGAGAGTTAACGAATTCTGAAAAAATGAGGTTTTATATTGTGTTTTCCATAAGGCTCTTTCTATCAGATATTACTGAAGACTTTTATAAGGCCTCTTTTCTTCTTTTGCATGTACTTTCTCTTAATTTTGTGACCTAGTCCTACTAAATTTATAAGAGTAGCAAATCTCCACCTGTCCTGGAAGAGACGTGTCGCCAGCATATAGTTCATGGAGGTCTTGTGTTCAAGGTAGGACCTGAAAGACAAAGAGAAGAACTGGTTATTTCTTAAAGCTTAGTTGAAGGGGAAAATACAGAAATAAAAACATGAATCAAGCACAAAAGTGACAGGTTATTTATATACTGTTTCTAAAAATATATAGTCTCTAAAGTGACAAGGGAGGAGATAGTTGCTCAAATCATATTATAAAATACTAGAATAGCAGAAAATACAATAAAATGAAAAGAATAAAGAGGACTTAAATTAGAAAATAAAAAGAAAGAAAAGTCAGGAATTCTTGGACTAATAAAAGCTGATATGCTAAATTCAGCGAATAAAACTGAAAGACAAAAATAAAACCACCACCAAAAATCACTTAGAGCTAGAAAAGAGGTCAAATGAAGCTGGGAACGGGAGGTGCATAAAGGGCATGAAAATGTTGACAGATTGTTTCAATCATCTTATTTCTCAAAAGCTTTCAATGGCTCCTTGATGCCAACTGCAGGAGGCATATACTTTCTCTTACAAGATTTCAAAAGTTGGGTCATCTATACCATCAATTCATTCACCCTTTCTCCACACAGAGACTCAACATGGGTCCTAAAGTACAGTCAGACAAGTCTCCTTAAAACCCTCTCACACCACACCTCCCACTGGTCCTTTTGCCTCTGTCTGGACACCTTCTCCTCACACCCTCTCTACTTATCCATAATCCACCCTTCAAGAAGCAACTCAAGTCCACTGTGCTGCATGAAGCCTTCCCTGATATGACTGCTCCAAGTCTACAGAGGTGCCCTCGTCCTGGCCTTCTACCTCTGCCTTCACTGTATGCCTAAGGGACTTGTCAAACGCTGCCTCATAGAGTAAAATTTCTCTTCTCGGAAAGCAGCATGATGCAGCGGGGAAAAGCAGGATCTGGAGTTAAAATACCTGAATCAAGTCCCACTGTGTGATCATGGATAAGTCACATTACTGAGGCTTATTTTCCTTATCATTACAATGGGAATAACAATGATGTGTATAAAGTACATCATAATCACAAAGAGCTATACAAATATGAGCTATTTTTATTACATGTATAAGTAATTTCTCCATCATCAGTACTGTTAACTCTCAAAGGACCGGGACCCCATCTAATATTTGTTACTCCAAAGCACCAAGCATAGTGCTAGTTACTTGTTGATATTCAATAAATATATATTAATTAAAAAGACATATTTGTTAGCAGATAAATACATCTTTCCCACACTACATGAAAATAACTCAGTTAGTTTAAAAGTCTTGGTGTTCTCTTCCACTTTTCTCAAAGGTCCCGGGAGAGGTGGAGTGATTTACCAGGTTGGTAATTTAGGAAAAATTCAACAAGCTTCTCCCTTCTTTCTCTGGGGAGATAATCTCTCCTCAGGAAGCACATATCCTCTGGTGCTCCTACAGGGTCAGGTATTCCTGATGCACAGCTCAGACCAACCTTGCCCTAAAAATGGGTATGTAAATCTGTCCAATTCTGAGGGTCAACAGAAAGTGCATTAACTTGCAGATAGATATAATCAAGTCTCCCAACCTAGACTTTATCAATGTGGAGTATGGAAAGTGATATTTTGGCCTGAATCTATCTTAGTCTTTGTCATCTCAACTGGTTCAAAACCAAACCAGGAAAGGAAGGTATCATTACTGGACTCCCTAAGAAACCCCAACATTATCTGTGATTGGTTCCTTAGAAAAAGGTACTCAAATTAGGGTCCTGCCTCTTGAAAACTTAAGAGGATTCCACTTTCATTAATTAAAAGATATGTTGTCTAGTAATTGCAAATATTCAACCTCTTCAAAAACGTATCAAAAGATAAAAGTCTAATTTTGAAAAGCCAAGCAATATCTTTTTGTTGAATTCCTGGGTCTTTATAAGGTGTAACTAAACTACATGGATAGAATATTTTGCAAGATAAAAAGATTTCTCTATGAACAGCTGGGTTTTCAAAACAAAACAGACAAGAACTAGTTCTTTCTTTTATTCCTCTAAGTTTTGGCTCTACTTAGAACCACTAATGTCCCAACCAGAAGCCAGTCACCAGAGGAAGAAAAATGTGTTCCCCATAATGAAGTACAATCTTACTAGTAATCAGAGAAATGCAAATCAAGACCAAAATAAGATATCATATTACACTCAGTATTTTGACAAAAATTAAGAAGTTGACAGTACCACATGTTAGAGAAGATATTGACCAACGGGATCTCCTAGGCACTGCTAACAGGAGTATAAATTTATATAGTCACTTTGGAAAACAATTTAGCACTACCTTTTTCTTTTTAGCATTATATTTTAAAGTTGAACATTCACATATCTTAGGGCCCTAGATATATTCCATCCCTAGATATATACCTAGGAGACACATATAAGCATATTTAGAGCACAGCGGTCTTTAACAGCAGAAGACCAGAAAGAAGTCAAATACCATCAACAAGAGAATGGGAAATTTAACAGCAGTATAAACACACAGAAGAATAAAATAAACTGAAAAAGAATGAATTCTAGCTACATGTAACAAAATGAACCTTAGTAATATAATACTGAATGAAAAAGGAAGAATACATACTGTTTTTGAGAAAAAGTTCAAAAGGAATACAAACTTATCAACAGAATTCTGTTTCTACATATGATATGATAACTGCTATAGGACCTGCCCTTTCACCATAAACAGCTAGAAAAGTGCACAAAATATATGAAACAACTGTTTCCAGACATGAAACAACTGGCAGTGCAGGACTGTGATAACTGAAAGGGGGAAATAAATAAAGGAAGCCCTCTGATTGCTCCACCTTCCCACCTAGATGCAATTCCAGGCAGTGCAGAAAGAGAAGGAATTCAAGTAGAACTCAAGAGTCTCTGTGTTGAGAAGACAGAGATCAAAGTTCTAGGAAGTGCTAAAATTTTCAAAGCTATGTCCTGGAGAGGAAGAAGCTATGCATAAGAAGAAATCAAAAAAGTCATCACAAGGGACCCTTTGAGTCTTTGGGTAAATACAGATCTACTCAGGCATACGGTGAAAGTCCACAAGGCTGTGCAAGGAGCAACTGTCAGGATAAAGAACATTAAGGAGAAAGTGTAAGCTGAGTACTTTCCAGAGTTCACACAGGGCTGCCAATTGACTGAGTTCCCACCAGCCAGAATGGAGAGATCTCATTGAATATGGGGGTCATTTAATAGACACCCCAAAAGAGTCTTCAGTAGTGGAACTAACCTATACCTAAACAAAAAGCTATTCTAAACAAACCATACAAATGCTTTTAAATGAGGCTGAAAAAGATTAAGCTGATCTACAAGTAACCTAAGTGTATGGCCACAAAAAAAACTTTCGATGGGCTTTAAAGAAGCAATAAAATCCAAACACAACAATACAACATTTACAATGTCCAATTAAAACATCTAATTTAAAAAAATCACTGTACATGTGAAGAAACAGGAAAAATATAACTCATTAACAAGAGGAAAACCAGTCAATAGAAACAGACTTAGAAACTATAGAGATAATAGAACCAGATTTTAAAACAGCTACTATAAACATAATATATGCACAAGAATCTAAAGGAAATCATGAAAATAATTGTAAAAAAAGAGAAAAAGAGGATATAAAGAGAAATAGATGGGAGTTATAAAGATGAAGAGTAAAATATCTGACATGAACATTTAATTGGATAGAATTAATAGAAGATTTAACACTGCAGACAAAAAGATGACTAAACTGACAGACACAGAGAAACAGAAAACCATCCAAAACGAAGAAAGAAAAAGAGTATAAAAAAATGAACAGGGCCAGACTTATAGTACAACATCAACCAATTTAGCATGTAACCAGAGTACCAAAAGGAGAGGAGGGAAATGGGAAAAAAATGTGAAGAAATAATGGCCAAAAGTTTTCCAAATTTGATGAAAACTGTAAGCCCACAGACCAAGAAGCTCAACAAATCCCAAGCAGAAGAAACAAGAAGAAGGTGATACCAAGGCATACATCATAATCACACTATTGAAAATCAGTCATAAAGAAATAATCTTAAAAGCAGGCTGATACATAAAAAGAAACGAAATTGAGTTATTTGTAGTGAGGTGGATGGACCTAGAGTCTGTCATACAGAGTGAAGTAAGTTAGAAAGAGAAAAACAAATACTGTATACTAACTGTATATACTGTATAATACTGTATATATGGAATCTAAAAAAAAAAAAAAGTGGTTCTGAAGAACCTAGGGGCAGGACAGGAATAAAGATGCACGTAGAGAATTGACTTGAGGACACGGGGAGAAGGAAGGATAAGCTGGGAAGAAGTGAGAGAGTGGCATGGACTATATACACTACCAAATGTAAAACAGATAGCTAGTGGGAAGCAGCTGCATAGCACAGGGAGATCAGATCAGTGTTTTGTGACCACCTAGAGGGGTGGGATAGGGAGGGTGGGAGGGAGACACTAGAGGGAGGAGATGTGGGGATATATGTATAGCTGATTCACTTTGTTATACAGCAGAAACTAACATAACAATGTAAAGCAACTGTACTCCAATAAAGATGTTAAAAAAATTTTAAAAAGCAGGCAGAGAAAAAGAGACACATTATGCACAGAAGAACAAAGGTAAGAATTACTGCACACTTTTCATGAGAAAAATGCAAGTCAAAATATAACAAAACACTTTTAAAGTGTCGGGAGAAAAGTGCCAACCCAGAACTCTACAACCACTGAAAAAAATCTTTCAAAAATTGGAAGTATCGATATAAGAAAGACTTTTTCAGACAAGCAACAGTTGAGAGAATTGCTTGTACTACAATAAATCCTAAAAGAAGTTTTCCAGATGGAAGAAAATGAGGCCAGATATAAAACTGATCAACATAAAAGAAGGAAGAACAGAGGAAATAGTAGTAAATGTGTAATTATGAGACTTTTCCTCATACTTAAATTTCCTTAAGCTGTTCAACGCAAAAATAACCAATGTACTATGGGATTTATAACATATAGAAATAAAATGCAGGACAATAATAGCCCAAAGGACAGGA